GGACTGAAACCAGGTCCAGGACCAGACCGAGACCAGACCGAGACCAGACCGGGACCAGACCGGGACCAGACCGGGACCAGACCGAGACCAGACCGAGACCAGACCGGGACTGAGCCCAGACCAGGACCCGGAGCAGGACTGAGACCGAGACCAGACCAGGACTGAGACCGAGATCAGACCGGGACAGACCCTTGACCAGACCGGACTGAGGCCAGGACCAGACCGGGACCAGACCCTTGACCAGACCGAGACTGAGGCCAGGACAGGCCAGGACCAGGCCAGGACCAGGCAGGCCAGGCCAGGACCAGACCCTTGACCAGACCGAGACTGAGGCCAGGACCAGACCGGGATCAGACCGGGACCAGACCCTTGACCAGACCGAGACTGAGGCCAGGACCAGGTCAGGACCAGGCCAGGACCAGACCAGGACCAGACCCTTGACCAGACTGAGACTGAGGCCAGGACCAGACCGGGATCAGACCGGGACCAGACCCTTGACCTGACCAGACCGAGACTGAGGCCGGACCAGGCCAGGACCAGACGGGACAACCCTGACCAGACCGAGACTGAGGCCAGGACCAGACCAGGATCAGACCGGGACCAGACCCTTGACCAGACCGAGACTGAGGCCAGGACCAGACCAGGATCAGACCGGGACCAGACCCTTGACCAGACCGAGACTGAGGCCAGGACCAGGCCGGACCAGACCGGGACCAGACCCTTGACCAGACCGAGACTGAGGCCAGGACCAGACCGGGAATCAGACCGGGACCAGACCCTTGACCAGACCGAGACTGAGGCCGGGATCAGACCGGGACCAGACCGGAGGCTCAGAGCCCACGGCAGGACCAGAGCTCGAAGCTGAGGCTCGGAGTCAAAGCTCGGAGTCCGGTCTGGTCTCGGTCTGGTCTCGGTCTGGTCCTGGCCTCAGTCTCGGTCTGGTCCCTCGGGTCTCGGTCTGGTCCCGGTCTGGTCCCGGTCTGGTCCCGGTCTGGTCCTGGACCTGGATCAGTCCTGGTTCAGTTTGGCATCAAAAACTCACTGAAGTCACGTAAACGGGAAACGGTCGTTATCTGTTTTTTTTCATTTTTCATTTAAACACAAAATCGAAAACTGAAAAAAACGAATCATGATCTGTTTTTTCATTTTGGTTTTGGAGACAAATAATGAAGAAAAATTTTGTTTTTTCATTTTCTTATTTTTGGTTTTATATTGAAAAACGAATGAACGAACGACACAAGGATTAATTTCTGTCACTCTCCTCACTTCTCTCTATTCTGTCCCCCTCTCTCCTCCTTCTGTCTCTCTCCTCCCTCTCTCTCTCTCTCTCCCACTTCTCCTCTCTCTCTCTCTCTCACACACTCTCTCCTCTCCTCTCTCTCTCTCTCTCTCTCTTCCTCCCCCTTTCTCTCTCACACACCTCCTCTCTTCTTTTTCTAATCCTTACCTCCCCCTTTTTTTCTCTCGCACTCCTCCTCCCCTCTCTCTCTTCCTCCCTCCCCATTTCTCTCCCCCTCCCTCTCTCTTCTTTCTTCCCTTTTTCTAATTACTCTCTCTCTCTTTCTCTCTCTCTCTGTCTCTCTCTCTCTCTCTCTCTCTCTCCTCTCTTCTCTCTCTCTCTCTCTCTCTTCTCTCTCCTCTCTCTCTCTCTCTCTCTCTCTCTCTCTCTCTCTCTCTCTCTCTCTTCTCCCTCTTCTCTCTCTCTCTCTCTCTCTCTCTCTCTCTCTCTCTCTCTCTCTCTCTCTCTCTCTCTCTCTCTCTCTCCCTCTGTCTCCTCTCTCCCCTCTCTCTCTCTCTCTCTCTCTCTCTCTCTCTCCTCTCTCTCTCTCTCTCTCCTCTCTCTCTCTCTCTCTCTCTCTCTCTCTCTCTCTCTCTCTCTCTCTCTCTCTCTCTCTCTCTCTCTCTCTCTCTCTCTCTCTCTCTCTCTCTCTCTCTCTCCCTCTCTCTCTCTCTCTCTCTCTCTTCATTTCTCTCTCTCTTCTTCTCATCTGTTCATTTTCATCTGTGTCACGTTTCTTGGCTTTGGCTCCAAAACTTTTTATAATCTGAACTTTTTTCATTCGTTCTATTTTTAGCTCCAGAGAAACATTTACATTTTTAACACGTTTCTGCACAAAACGTCTCTCGAATTTAATCAGAAAAAAACAAAACAAATAAAAAATAAAATAATAAAATAAATAAATAAATAAAATTTATTTATTTATTATAAATAATATTACACAATTCTGACACAAAGATTCATGTACAAGACACTGGAACTGTGAACTAAACCAGGACTAAACCAGGACTAAACCGGGACTAAACCAGAACTAAACCAGGACTAAATCAGGACTAAACCAGGGACTAAACCAGGACTAAACCAGAACTAAACCAGGAACTAAAACCAGGGACTAAACCAGGACTAAATAAACCAGGACTAAACCAGGGACTAAACCAGGACTAACCAGGACTAAACAGAACTAAACAGGACTAAACCAGGACTAAAACAGGACTACCAGGACTAAACCAGGACTAAACCAGGACTAAACCAGGAACTAAACCAGGACTAAACCAGACTAAACCAGGACTAAACCAGACTAAACCAGACTAAACCAGGACTAAACCAGAACACCAGGACTAAACCAGAACTAAACCAGGACTAAAACAGGGACTAAACTAAACCAGGACTAAAACAGGACTAAACCAGGACTAAACCAGGACTAAAACCAGACTAAACCAGGACTAAACCAGGACTAAACAGGGACTAAACCAAGACTAAAAAAACCAGACTAAACCAGAACTAAACCAGGACTAAACCCAAGACTAAAACAAGGACTAAACCAGGACTAAAACAGGACTAGACCAGGGACTAAAACAGGACTAAACCAGAACTAAACCAGGACTAAACCAGGACTTAAACCAGGACTAAACCCAGTGTAAGAGTGTGGGAGAGGACACAGCCAAACACTTTATGGAATCACAGGGTCCTTCACGATTCGATACTCGATACTCGGCTCACGATACGACGATACACGAGTTAATCGATACGCTGCTGTTTCATAAGAACCAAAGAAACTTTAGCAAAAATATTTCTTTGTTCCACCAGTTTGGACAAAGTAAATATGAAGCAAATCTATTCCAACCATCAAAAGAGTCAATCTGCCAAAAAAATACTCTTGCCGATATATCGATAAAGCAGCTCACGATAACGATACTGTATTATCAAATTTAGTATCACGATTAGGGTTGAGTATCATTCAGAAGTTGCCGATACGATACACACCTCGATACATAAGCCACAATACGATACACGTCTCGATACATAAGCCACAATACGATACACCTCGATACATAAGCCACAATACATAAGCACAATACGATACACACCTCGATACATAAGCCACAATACGATACACGTCTCGATACATAAGCCACAATACGATACACGTCTCGATACATAAGCCACAATACGATACACGTCTCGATACATAAGCCACAATACGATACACGTCTCGATACGTAAGCCACAATACGATACACGTCTCGATACATAAGCCACAATACGATACACATCTCGATACGTAAGCCACAATACGATACACATCTCGATACACGTAAGCCATAATACGATACGCACCTCGATACGATAAGCCACAATACGAAATACACGTCTACGATACAACGTCGATACATAAGCCACAATACGATAAAGCCACATACGATACACTCTCGAACATAAGCCACAATACGATACACATCTCGATACATAAGCCACAATACGATACACACCTCGATACGATACACGTCTCGATACATAAGCCACAATACGATACGATACACCTCGATACGATAAGCCACAATACATACATCGATACATAAACACGATACACGATACGTCAATCGATACACGTCTCGATACATAAGCCACAATACGATACACGCCTCGATACATAAGCCACAATACGATACACACCTCGATACAAAATACGATAAGCCACAATACGATACGCCGATACATAAGCACACACGTCTCGATACATAACCACATAACGATACACGTCTCGATACATAAGCCACAATACGATAAGCACGTCTCGATACATAAGCCACAATACGATACACGTCTCGATACATAAGCCACAATACGATACACGCCTCGATACATAAGCCACAATACGATACACGCCTCGATACATAAGCCACAATACGATACACGCTCGATACATAAGCCACAATACGATACACGCCTCGATACATAAGCCACAATACGAATACACCCTCGATCACGATACATAAGCCACACATCGATACGATACATACGCCTCGATACATAAGCCACAATACGATACACATCTCGATACATAAGCCACAATACGATACACACGCCTCGATACATAAGCCACAATACGATACACGTCTCGATACATAAGCCACAATACGATACACGCCTCGATACATAAGATACGATCTCGATACATAAGCCACAACACGATACAAGGATACACTCGATACATAAGCCACAATACGATACACGTCTCGATACATAAGCCACAATACGATACACGTCTCGATACATAAGCCACAATACGATACATACAATACGCCCACAATACGATACACGCCAATAATAACGATACACGTCATCGATACATAAGCCACATAATACGATACACGTCTCGATACATAAGCCACAATACGATACATGCCTCGATACATAAGCCACAATACGATACACACCTCGATACGGTGATCTTACAATTCGATATAATTCAATACGATATATTTTAAATCGATACGGTTCAATAAAAGTAAAGTCTTTGTTAATCCACTTCTTCTTGTGCAAAGTTCATATGAAACACAAACATTTAAATCATCAAAACGGTGAAAATGTCAAAAATGTGTCGCATAAATGAGTTTCCAACCATCACCAAAAGTCAAAAACAACATTTTCACATGAGGCAGTGTGGGGGAAGTGTCTTGCCCAAGGACACAACAGACAGAGTTTGGACAGAGGGACTTACCGTCATAAGGTCTGGTGAGGGATCTGATGTTGCCCTCATCCGCCACTGAAACAAAACAAAACACAAGTGTCACACAATAATGTTTTAGGTTTTTAACTTTTAAAATCTGGTTGGAAAATTTAATCAAAATAAACTGAAAACACAAACCAAAATTCTTGTCGAGGTGCAAAAGAAAAAATGCAGAGCACAGATTTTTGGCAAAAAAAAAAAGAGTCTTCGTCAGATATTTTTCTTGCTTTGGACCACAGTTCACCAGAGACCAGAAATAGACCTGCTGTAGTCCTGGTTTGGTCCTGAATTAGTCCTGGGTTGGTCCTGGTTTTATTCTGGTTGAGTCCTGAATTAGACCTGCTTTAGTCCTGGTTTTGTTCTGGGAGAGTCCAGAATCAGATATGGTTTAGTCCAGGTTTAGTCCTGAATTAGACCTGGTTTGGTTCTAGTTTGTCATGATTTAGTGCTGGTTTTGTCCTGAGAGAGAGTCCAGAATGACACCTGGGTTTAGTCCAGGTTTGGTCCAGGTTCAGTTCTTTTTTAGTCCTGAATTAGACCTGGTACAGTCTGTGGTCTGTTTCTGGTTTTGTCATACAAGAGCCCAGAATTAGACCTCGTTTAGTCCTGGTTTAGTCCTAAATTATGCCTGGTTTGGTTCTAGTTTGTCCTGGTTTAGTCCTGGTATTGTCCTGAGAGAGAGTCCAGAATCAGACCTGGTTTAGTCCTGCTTTGGTGCTAGTTTAGTCCTGGTTCATTTCCAATTTAGTCCTGACTTAGACCTGGCTTAGTCCTGGTTTAAATCTTATCTAGTCCTTGTTTAGACCCACTGGAGTCCTCATTTAGACCTGGTTCAGACCTGGTTCTGACCTGGTTTATCATAGTCCGGTTTTAGTCCGGTTTTAGTCCAGATTTAGTCCAGATTTAGTCCAGTTTTAGTCCAGATTTTGTCCAGATTTAGTCCAGATTTAATCCAGTTTTAATCCAGTTTTAATCCAGATTTAGTCCAGATTTAGTAGTCCAGATGTAGTCCAGATGTAGTCCAGATTTAGTCAGATTTAGTTCAGTTTTACCAGTTTTAGTCCAGTTTAGTCCAGGTTTTAGTCCAGTTTTAGTCTTTTAGTCCAGTTTTAGTCCAGTTTAGTAGTTTTTCCAGTTTTAATCCAGATTTAGTCCAGATTTAGTCCAGTTTTAGTCCAGATTTTTAGAGTCCAGATTTAGTCCAGTTTTTAGTCCAGATTTTAGTCATTTAGTCCAGTTTTAGTCCAGTTTTTCCAGTTTAGTCCAGTTTTAGTCCAGATTTAGTCCAGTTTTAGTCCAGTTTTAGTCCAGCTTTAGTCCAGTTTTAGTCCAGATTTAGTCCAGTTTTAGTCCAGCTTTAGTCCAGTTTTAGTCCAGATTTAGTCCAGATTAAGTCTCGTTTTAAGCAAGTTTTTATTTCCAGAATCAACAAAAACTGAACCTGAACCAAACTAAAACCAAAATTAATCCGTTTTCACACTAAATAAATCTTAATTTTCTTTTAGATTTTGAATTTTAAGACTTTAATTTGCAAATAAAACGCAGAACGAGACATTTTTAACAATAACTCCACGTGTTCGGACAAAAAACAGAAATGAAAACCTCCAAAACGGTGGGATATTTGTGCTCTGATGCTCTAATCTAACTCCAGCGCCGCAGTGCATCATGGGAGACGCCGATGGGTTTTCATTACCGCGCAATTTCTCTTAAATAATGTTTTTCATTTTTTTATAAGGTCAATTTTCCCGCTGGATGGACAGATGGCTGACGGAGGACGAGGAGAGGAGAATACAAAACAAAACCGGGGCCAACAAGTCCAAGACGAGAAAAAAAACAACAAAAAAAACCCAAAATCCCTGGAAATACAGAAGAAAGTCTGTTAAAGCTGCACTGTGGAACATTTCTGGTGTTTTTTTTTGGTCCTGGTTTGGTCCTGGTTTGGTCCAGAATGAGACCTGGTTTAGTCGAGATTTGGTCCTGGTTTGGTCCTGGTTTGGTCCTGGTTTGGTCCTGGTTTGGTCCTGGTTTGGTCCTGGTTTGGTCCTGGTTTGGTCCAGAATGAGACCTGGTTTAGTCGAGATTTGGTCCTGGTTTGGTCTTGGTTTGGTCCAGAATGAGACCAGGTTTAGTAGAGGTTTGGTCTTGGTTTGGTCCAGAATGAGACCAGGTTTAGTCAAGATTTGGTCCTGGTTTGGTCTTGGTTTGGTCCAGAATGAGACCAGGTTTAGTCGAGATTTGGTCTGGTTTGGTTTGGGTCCAGAATGAGACTGGTTTAGTCGAGATTTGGTCCTGGTTTGGTCTTGGTTTGGTCCAGAATGAGACTGGTTTAGTCGAGATTTGGTCTGGTTTGGTCTGGTTTAGTCAAGATTTGGTCCTGGTTTGGTCTTGGTTTGGTCCAGAATGAGACCTGGTTTAGTCGAAGTGTTAAGATTTGGTCCTGGTTTGGTCTTGGTTGTTAAAGACCTGGTTTTTTGTCCTGGTTTGGGTCTGGTTGACCGAGATTGGTTGGTCCAGAATGAGACCTGGTAGTCTGGTTTGGTCAGAATGAGACTAGTTGTTTGGTCCGTCTTGGTTGGTCCAGAATGACCTGGTTTAGTCAGATTTTGGTCCTGGTTTGGTCCAGAATGAGACCAGGTTTAGTCAAGATTTGGTCCTGGTTTGGTCTTGGTTTGGTCCAGAATGAGACCTGGTTTAGTCAAGATTTGGTCCTGGTTTGGTCTTGGTTTGGTCCAGAATGAGACCAGGTTTAGTGAGATTTGGTCCTGGTTGGTCTTGGTTGGTCCAGAAGAGACCTGGTTTAGTCGAGATTTGGTCCTGGTTTGGTCTTGGTTTGGTCCAGAATGAGACCTGGTTTAGTCGAGATTTGGTCCTGGTTTGGTCTTGGTTTGGTCGAGACAGGTTTAGTCAAGATTTGGTCCTGGTTTGGTCTTGGTTTGGTCCAGAATGAGACCAGGTTTAGTCAAGATTTGGTCCTGGTTTGGTCTTGGTTTGGTCCAGAATGAGACCAGGTTTAGTCAAGATTTGGTCCTGGTTTGGTCTTGGTTTGGTCCAGAATGAGACCTGGTTTAGTCGAGATTTGGTCCTGGTTTGGTCTTGGTTTGTTCCAGAATGAGACCAGGTTTAGTCAAGATTTGGTCCTGGTTTGGTCTTGGTTTGGTCCAGAATGAGACCAGGTTTAGTCGAGATTTGGTCCTGGTTTGGTCTTGGTTTGGTCCAGAATGAGACCTGGTTTAGTCAAGATTTGGTCCTGGTTTGGTCTTGGTTTGGTCCAGAATGAGACCTGGTTTAGACCTGGTTTAGACCTGGTTCAGATCTGGTTTAGGTCAGGTTTATTCATATTCTGGTTTAGTCCTGGTTTAGATCTGACTTAGATCTAGTTTAGTCTTAGTCTTGGTTTAGTCTTCATTCAGTCCTAGTTGTTGAGTCCTCGGTTTAGTCCCTGGTCTAGTTTCTGGTCCTTGGTTCAGTCCTGGTTTAGTCTTTGGTTTAGTATTGGTTTAGTCCTGATTTAGTTCTGATTTAGTCCAGGGTTTAATGCTACTTCAGTCTTGGTTCAGTCCATGGTTTAGTCTTTGGTTTAGTCTTGATTTAGTCCTGGTTTAGTCTTTGGCTTAGTCTAGATTTATTTCTGATTTAGTCCTGGTTTAGTTCTGATTTAGTCCTCTGGTTAAGTCTTAGTTTAGTCCATCTTAGTCCAAGTTTAGACCCAGTTTGGTCCTGGTTTAAACATGTTTTGGTTTGGTTCCTGTTTGGTCCTGGTTTAGTCCTGGTTCAGTCCTGGTTTAGTCCTGGTTCAGTCCTGGTTTAGTCCTGGTTCAGTCCCGGTTTAGTCCTGGTTCAGTCTTGTTTTATTCCCTGGTTTAGTCCTGGCTTTAGTCCCTGGTTTAGTCCCAGTTCAGTCCTGGTTTAGTCCTGGTTTAGACCTGCTTTAGTCTTGATTTAATCCTGGTTTAATCCTGGTTTAGACCTGGTTTAGACCTGGTTTAGACCTGGTTCAGTCCTGGTTTAGACCTGCTTTAGTCTTGATTTAATCCTGGTTTAGTCCTGGTTTTGTCCTGGTTTAGTCTTGATTTAATCCTGGTTTAGTCCTGGTTTAGACCTGGTTTAGACCTGGTTTAGACCTGGTTTAGACCTGGTTTAGACCTGGTTCAGTCCTGGTGTAGTCCTGGTTTAGACCTGCTTTAGTCTTGATTTAATCCTGGTTTAGTCCTGGTTTAGACCTGGTTTAGACCTGGTTCAGTCCTGGTGTAGTCCTGGTTTAGACCTGCTTTAGTCTTGATTTAATCCTGGTTTAGTCCTGGTTTAGACCTGGTTTAGACCTGGTTTAGACCTGGTTTAGACCTGGTTCAGTCCTGGTTTAGTCCTGGTTTAGTCCTGGTTTAGTCCTGGTTTAGTCCTGGTTTAACCTGGTTTAGTCCTGGTTTAGGTTTAGTCCAAGTTTAATCCTGGTTTAGTCCTGGTTTAGTCCTGGTTTAGTCCTGGTTTAATCCTGGTTTTAGTCCTTTTCCTGGTTTAGTAGACCTGGTTCAGTCCTGGTGTAGTCCTGGTTTAGACCTGCTTAGTCTTGATTTAATCCTGGTTTAGTCTGGTTTTCTGGTTTAGACCTGGTTAGTCCTGGTGTAGTCCTGGTTTAGACCTGCTTTAGTCTTGATTTAATCCTGGTTTAGTCCTGGTTTAACCTGGTTTAGACCTGGTTTAGACCTGGTTTAGTCCTGGTTTAGTCCTGGTTTTCAGTCCTGGTTTAGTCCTGGTTTAGTCCTGGTTTAGTCCTGGTTTAGTCCTGGTTTAGTCCTGGTTTAGTCCTGGTTTTGTCCTCATTAAACTTCTATTTTTAAAAGTGGAAAAGTCAAATTTATCGACTCCGTTTAACTTCAGTCTTTTTTTTTTTTCGTCTCTTTCGTCTCTTCGGTTTCTTCAGTTTCATTTTTACAGTCGAGGAGGATTTTGAGGAAACTGTTCTGACAGAAAAAAAAAACCCAAAAACCCTCTTTGCTCTTGTATTGACCCGCGGCGTTTGAGTAAATACGCTCGTGTCGACTTGAGCTCCGACAAATCTCCACTGGAAATGTTCCACCCGAGACTGAGGAGAGACTCACGTTTAAACACGACCCAAACAAAACCAACGACAAGTCCGGACTCAAACTCATTTAAAGTCCACGAGAAAAACCAGACTCTGTTATTCCACCGGAGCGGAATTAAAGACTGTTGCCGTAGCGATTAAAGTCTCTGTACGGGATTTTTATACAGTCTGAAAAATGTGACCTGGTTTGGTTCTGGTTTAGTTCTTGGTTTGGTCCTGGTTTGGTTCTGGTTTAGTCTTGGTTTAGTCCTGGTTTTTTGGTCCCTGGTTTGGTCCTGGTTTTGGTTTGGTCCTTGGTCCTTGGTTTGAGTCCTCGTTTAGTCCTGGTTTGGTTCTGGGTTTGGTCCTGGTTTGGTCCTGGTTTAGTCCTGGTTTGGTTCTGGGTTTGGTCCTGGTTTGGTCCTCATTTAGTCCTGGTTTGGTTCTGGGTTAATCCTGGTTTTGTCCTAGGACAGTCCAGCATCAGACCTGGTTTAGTCCTTGGTTTAGTTCTGGTTTGTCCTAGCAGAGTCCAGATCAGAGTCCTGGTTTAGTCCTGGTTTGGTTCCTGGTTTTGTCCTAGCAGAGTCCAGCATCAGACCTGGTTTAGTTCTTGGTTTGGTCCTGGTTTGGTCCTGGTTTGGTCCTAGAAGAGTCCAGAATCAGACCTGGTTTAGTCCTGGTTCAGTTCTGGTTTTGTCTCAGGAGAGTCCAGAATCAAACCACTGGTTTAGTCCTGGTTTAGTCCTGGTTTGATTCTGGGTTGGTCCTGGTTTTGTCCTAGAACAGTCCAGAATCAGACCTGGTTTAGTCCTGGTTTAGTCCTTGGAGAGTCCAGAATCAGACCTGTTTTAGTCCTGGGTTGGTTCTGGGTTGGTCCAGGTTTAGTCCAGGCTTGGTTCGGTCCTTGTCATAAGAAAGCCCAGAATCAGACCCGGTTTAGTCCTGGTTTAGTCCAGGTTGAAGTCCTGGTTCAGTCCTGGTTTAATCTAGTCCAGGTTTAGTCCAGGTTTAGTCCAGGTTTAGTCCTGGTTTAGTCCTGGTTTAGTCCTGGTTCAGTCCTGGTTTAGTCCTGGTTTAGTCCAGGTTTAGTCAGGTTTAGTCCTGGTTTAGTCCTGGGTTTTAGTCTGGTTTAGTCCTGGTTTAGTCCTGGTTTAGTCCCAGGTTTAGTCCTGGTTTTAGTCCTGTTTAGTCCTGGGTTCCTGGTTTAGTCCTGGTTTAGTCCAGGTTTAGTCCCTGGGTTCAGTCTGGTTTAGTCCTGGTTTAGTCCAGGTTTAGTCAGGTTTATCCTGTTTGTCCTGGTTTAAGTCCTGGTTTAGTCCATTAGTCCGGTTTATGGTTCAGTCCTGGTTAGTCCTGGTTTTCGTCCTGGTTTAGTCCTAGGTTTTAGTCCTGGTTTAGTCCTGGTTTTAGTCCTGGTTTAGTCCTGGTTTAGTCCTGGTTTAGTCCTGGTTTTAGTCCTGGTTTAGTCCTGGTTTAGTCCTGGTTTAATCTAGTCCAGGTTTAGTCCAGGTTTAGTCCCTGGTTTAGTCCCTGGTTTGTCCAGGTTTAGTCCTGGTTTAGTTCTGGTTTAGTCCTGGTTAGTCCTGGTTTAGTCCTGGTTAGTCCTGGTTCAGTCCTGGTTCCTAGTTTAGTCCAGGTTTAGTCCAGGTTTAGTAGGTTTAGTCCAGGTTCAGTCCTGGTTTATAGTCCTGGTTTAGTCCTGTTTTAGACCTGGATTTGACTTAGTCCTGGTTCAGTCCAGATTTAGACCAGTTTTAGTCGTATTTTAAACATGTTTTGGTTCCAGGACAAAACAAAACTCCAGGTCTGGTTTTGTTTTGTTTTTTTGATCAGAAAAGATCTGAACCTTTAACAAAAAAACCCCAAAAAAAACAAACAGAAAATTGGTCCAAACTCCCCGCTGCCTCAGACAGTGAGGGTTAGTCCGGGTTAGTCCGGGTTAGTCCGGGTTAATTCGGGAAATCAGGCTCGTGCTGGCGCTCGGCTGCGCTCAGGGACGCCGAGACCGGAGGAACCTTTATTCTTTTATTTACACAGAAGCGCGACGAAAGCGAGCGAGCGCCGAGCCGGTCTGGAGGAGGCCCCTGGGTTTACGAGGTCAAAGGTCGCCTCCCTGCAGACGGTGGATAATGTCCCTCGAATCACAACAAAGAAACACGGCGATAAGGGTCGTGTGATCAGCGTCTGCGCCGGGAATTATGGGTACGGAGTCAAAACGACGCAGAGACGACAGAAAAAACAACGACGACGACGACGACAGAAGAGTCTGAGTTTAAAGGAGCTGGAGACGATTTTTACAAACTTAAAAATGTGAAAAAAAACAAAACAGAAGTAGTTTATTTTTAGTTCATTAGATCTAAAATTTACTCTTGTGAACTTTGAGTCAGGATTAAACCAGAACTGAACCAGACTAAACCAGGACTGAACCAGAACTGAACCAGAACTGAACCAGAACTGAACAGAACCAGACTGAACCAGGACTGAACCAGAACTAACCAGAACTGAACCAACCAGGACTGAACCAGGCTAAACAGACTAACCAGGAACTGAACACGAACTGAACCAGGACTGAACCAGGACTGAACCAGGAACTGAAACCAGGACTGAACCAGGATGAACAGAACCAGAACTTGAACCAGAACTGAACCAGACTGAACCAGAACAGACTGAACCAGGACTGAACCAGGACTGAACCAGGAACTAAACCAGAACTAAACCAGACTGATACTGAACCAGAACTGAACCAGGACTGAACCAGGACTGAACCAGGATAAACCAGAAACCAGACTGAACCAGAACTGAACCAGAACCAACTGAAACCAGGAACTGAACCAGGACTGAACCAAACAATTAAACCAGAACTGAACCAGGAACTGAACCAGAACTAACAGGACTGAACCAGGACTAAACTGAACCAGGACTGAACAGGACTGAACCAGGACTGGACTGAACCAGAACTGAACCAGACTGAACCAGGACTGAACCAGGACTAAACCAGACTAAACCAGGACTGAACCAGGATTAAACCAGGAACTGAACCAGAACTGAACCAGAACTGAACCAGGACTGAACCAGGACTGAACCAGGAACTAAACCAGGGAACTGACTAAACCAGGACTGAACCAGGACTGAACCAGGGACTGAAACCAGGACTAAACCAGAAACTAAACCAGGACTAAACCAGGACTGAACTAAACCAGGACTAAACCAGGACTATGAACCAGGAACTGAAACCAGGACTGAACCAGGACTGAACCAGGACTAAACCAGGACTGAACCAGAAACCAGAACTGAACCAGGAACCTGAACCAGGACTAAACCAGGACTGAACCAGGACTAAACCAGGACTGAAACCAGGACTACTGAAACCAGGACTGAACCAGGAACTGAACCAGGAATTAAACCAGGACTAAACACAGGAACCAGGACTGAACCAGGACTAAACCAGAACTGAACCAGGACTAAACCAGGAACTGAACCAGGACTGGACTAAACCAGACCGGACTAAACCAGGAACCACTAAACCAGAACTAAAACCAGGACTGAACCAGGACTGGACTAAACCAGGACTGAACCAGGACTGAACAGAACTAAACCAGGACTGAACCAGGACTGAACCAGGACTGAACCAGAACTAAACCAGGTCTAAACCAGGTCTAAACCAGTACTAAACCAGGATTAAATCTGACTAAAACGGGACTAATCAGGGCTAAACTAGAAGTAAATTATGACTAAACCAAGACCAAAGCTGCACCAAACCAGAACTAAACCAGGTCTAAACCAGGACTACACCAGGTCTGAACTGACACTAAACCAGGATTAAATCTGGACTAAAAGAGAACTACACCAGGTCTCCGAATTGAGACTAAACCAGTACTAAAACAGGACTAAAACAGGGCTAAACTAGAAGTAAATTATGACTAAACCAGGACTAAACCAGGACTACACCAGGTCTGAACTGGGACCAAACCAGGATTAAATCTGGACTAAAACAGGACTAAAACAAGATAAACTGGAAGTAAATTATGACTAAACCAGGACTAAACCAGGTCTAAATCAGGACTAAACCATGACTATAAACCAGTCCTAAACCAGGTCTAAAGCAAGTCTAAACAAACAAAACTCAAATAAACCTAAACCAAGACTAAACCTAAACCTAAACCAGGTCTAAAACAAATCAGGACAGACTAAACCAGAACTAAACCAGGACTATAAACCAGTCCTAAACCAGGTCTAAAGCAAGTCTAAACAGAACTAAACCAGGTCTAAACCGGGATTATTAACTCGGTCTAAACCAAGTCTAAACTAGGTCTAAACCAGGACTATAAACCAGTCTAAAAGTCTAAACAGGACTAAACCAGGTCTAAAACAGGACTAAACCAGAACTGATCTCAAGCCTGAACCAGGACTAAACCAAAACTGAGCCAGGGGGCGGGCAGAGCGAGGGGCGGGCAGAGCCAGGGGCGGGGCAGAGCCAGGGGGCGGGGCAGAGCAGGGCAGGGGGCGGGGCAGAGCAAGGGGGCGGGGCAGAGCAAGGGGGGGGGTAGAGCGGGGCGGGGCAGAGCAGGGGGGGGGCAAGAGCCAGGGGCGGGGCAAGAGGGGCGGGGCAGAGCAAGGGGGCGGGGCAGAGGCAGGGGGTGGGGCAGAGCCAGGGGCGGGGCAGAGCCAGGGGGCGGGGCAGAGCCAGGGGGCGGGGCAGAGAGGGGGCGGGCAGAGACAGGGGGCGGGGCAGAGCAGGGGGCGGGGCAGTTCAGCAGCGGAACATTTTTTGAAGTATAAAAAATCAGAGCCTAAACAAACTTTCTTCTTGTTCTTATCACCTCAAGAACAAAAATAAAGTTCTTATGAAGTATGAATAGGCCTTAAAGCTGGCATGCTAATAGCACACTTCCTGATTCTTGGACTGATGGAGACATGAAGAGTTGGTACAGTGTTGGAGTCTTACCCAGGTCCATGCTCTTCGACGCTCTGTAGTCGTCTCTGAGATTCACTCCACCGTAGAACGGAGGCCTCGGAAAATCACTGAAAAACAAACAAAAGACCTGGTTTAGACCTGGTTTAGACCTGGTTTATAGTCCTGGTTTAGACCTGGTTTAGAATCCTGGATTAGTCTTGTTTTTGTCCTGGTTCATCCTAGTTTAGACCTGGTTTAGACTTGGTTCTGACTTGATTTGTAGTCCAGGTTTATGGTCCTGGTTTAGTCTTGCTTTAGTCCTGGCTCAGTCCTGGTTTAGACCTGGTTCAGATTTGATTTAGTCCTGATTTAGGCTTGGTTTACACCTGGTTTAGACCTGGTTCAGATCTGGTTTATAGTCCGGGTTTAGTCTTGCTTTAGTCCTGGCTTCAGCCTAGTTTAGACTTGGTTTAGTCCTAGTTTAGACCCAGTTTATAGTCCTGGTTTAGTCCTGGTTTAGTCCTGGCTTTGTCCTGGTTTCGACCTAGTTGATACCTGGTTTAGATTTGGTTTAGTCCTGATTTAGACTTGGTTTAGACCCAGTTTATAGTCCTGGTTTAGTCTTGCTTTAGTCTTGCTTTAGTCCTGCTTTAGACCTGGTTTAGTCCTGACTTAGTCCTGGTTTAGACCTGGTTTAGACTTGGTTTAGACCTGATTTATAGTCCTGGTTTAGTCTTGCTTTAGTCCTGGTTTAGACCTGGTTTAGTCCTGATTTAGACTTGGTTTAGTCCTGGTTTAGTCCTATTATAGGCCAAGTCTATTCCTGGTTCAGTATTTTTTCATTCCTGTTTTAGTCTTCCTTTAGTCCCGGTCTAGTCCCGGTCTAGTCCCGGTCTAGTCCCGGTCTAGTCCTGTTTCCATATTGTTCCAGTCCCGTCGTGTTTTATTTGTCGTATTTGTGTAAAAACGATCAAAGCTTTTTTTTATTTTAAACGTCGTCGGAAAAACCCCGGGGAGTTCAGCTAAACAAAGGTGATTTCACATGTCGACTCGTCCCGTTTCCTCCGCTCCAGATGGAACTGGAACAATGGACCGGTTTAACACGGACCCGGTCTGTCCAAAACCGGTTCAGACTCAAAACAAATGGACCAACTGGGACTGAAGACCAGACCCGGGGAGGACTGGAGGCTGAAAAAGCTGGATTTAAGTCCAAGTTTAGAGCTGGTTACAGGGAAAAGTCTAGTCCTGGTTTAACTCTGGTCAAGTTCTGGTTCAGGCCTAGTCTAGTCCTGGTTTAGACCTGGTTTAGACCTGATTTAGTTCAACTTTTAGGCCTATTTAAGTACTGGTTTAGACCTGGTTCAATCCTGGTTTAGTTTTGGATTAGATCGGGTCTAGTTCTGGGTCAGTCCTGGTTAAGGCCTGATTTAGTCCTAGTTTAGTCCTAGTCTAGTCCTGATTTAGACCTAAATAAGGGCCTATTTGCATCCTGGTCTATTTCTGGTTCAATCCTGGTTCAGTCCCGGTCAAATCCTGGTTCAGTCCAAGTTTAGTCCTGGTTTAGTCCCTTGTTTAGTCCTGGGTTCAGTCAGGGTTTAGTCCTGGTTTAGACCTGGCTCAGTCCTATTTTAGTCCTGGATTAGATGGGGTTTAGTCCTGGTCTAGGCCTAGTTCAGTTTTAGTTTACTTCTGGATAAGACCCGATTTAGACCTGATTTAGTTCTACTTTTAGGCCAGTTTGAATCCTGGTCTAGTTCTGGTTCTGTCCGTGTTTGTTCCTGGTTTAGTCCTAGTCTAGTCCTGGTTTAGTCTAATTTAGCTCGACTTTTAGGCCTATTTAAATACTGATTTGGTCCTGGTTCAGTCCTGGTTTAGACCTAGTCTAGACCTGGTTCAGTCCTTGTTCAGTCCTGGTTTAGACCTAGTCTAGACCTGGTTCAGACATGGATCAGTCCTGGTTCAGTCCTTGTTCAGTCCTGGTTTAGACCTGGTTCAGTCCTAATTTAGTTCTGGATTAGACCTGATTTAGTTCTACTTTTAGGCCTATTTAAATACTGGTTTAGTCCTGGTTTAATCCTGGTTAAATCCTAGTCTAGTCCTGATTTAGACCTGGTTCAGTCCTAGTTTAGTTTTGGATTAGATCAGGTTTAGCCCGGATCTAGTTCTGGTTCAGAACTGGTCAAATAATGGTTCAGTCCTAATTTAGTCCTGGTTTAGTCTAATTTAGCTCTACTTTTGGGCCTATTTAAATACTGATTTGGTCCTGGTTCAATCCTGTTTTAGACTTAGTTTACACCGAGTCTAGACCTGGTTCAGTCCTGGTTCAGTCCTGGTCTAGTCCTGGTTCAGTCCTGGTTCAGTCCTGGTTAGTTCTTAGCCCTGGTCTAGTCCTGGTTCAGTCCTGGTTCAGTCCTGGTTCCTGGTCTAGACCTGGTTCAGTCCTGGTTCAGTCCTGGTTTAGTTCTGGGTTAGATTAGGTTTAGCCCTGGTCTAGTCCTGGTTCAGTCCTGGTTTAGACCTGATTTGGACCTGATTTAATTTTACTTTTGGGCCTATTTAAATACTGTTTTAGTCCTGGTTTAGACCTAGTTTAGCCCTGGTTTAGACCTAGTTTGGATCTGGATTAGACCTGATTTAGACTTGATCCAGCCCTGTTCTTTAGTCCAGGTTCAATCCTCATTCAGTCCTGGTTTAGATCTGGTTTAGCCCTTGTCTAGTCCTATTCTTTAGTCCTGGTTCAGTTCTGCTCTGGTCTCAGTTATGACTATAAATAATTTAGTCTTTATTTACCAAATCAAAACACTTTTATAATCCAGTATTTTCTTTTTCTTTTGTCCCATTGTTCGTCTGAATTTAAAACCACAGTAATACTTCAATTAAAAATGACAATATTGTGTTTTTTATTGTGTTTTTATCACGACCCCGTTGATATTTTCTGCTCATATTTCCTGTAGATGTTGCGGGGGGTTCGTGTGTGACCTCCTCATGGGCCGTAATTACTCCAGATAAATGCAAAAAAAAAAAAAAAAAAAAAAAAATGCAATTATACGACGCGGCTTCAATAATTCATATGTTCTAATGGGCTGATACGAGCTCTAACGACTCCACTAACGACCCCCTGCCCCCCCCCCCCAGACCCCACCAAACCAGGACTGGCAGAGTGGTTAGCCCCCGTGGACAAGTGTGAGGTCTGGGTTTGGGTTTTAGTCCTGGTTTAGGCTCTGGGTTTTAAGGTTTGGTCCAGGTTTAGACGAGAATAAATCATGGTCTCCGAGTCTGGGTTCATAGTTGGCCCCTAATTAGTCCTGGTTTAGCCTCACCTGTAGTGCGGGGGCGTCAGGTCCTGGTTTAGTCCTGGTTTGGTCCTGGTTTGGTCTGGTTTAGTCCTAGTTTGGTCTGGTTTGCTCTGGTTTAGTCCTGGTTTAGTCTGGTTTGGTCTGGTTTAGTCTGGTTTAGTCTGGTTTGCTCTGGTTTAGTCTGGTTTGCTCTGGTTTAGTCTGGTTTAGTCCTGGTTTGGTCTGGTTTAGTCCTGGTTTGGTCTGGTTTAGTCTGGTTTAGTCTGGTTTGGTCTGGTCTGGTTTGGTCTGGCTTAGTCCTGGTTTAGTCCTGGTTTAGTCTGGTTTGGTCTGGTTTAGTCTGGTTTGGTCCGGTTTAGTCTGGTTTGGTCCGGTTTAGTCTGGTTTGGTCTGGTCTGGTTTGGTCTGGTTTAGTCCTGGTTTAGTCCTGGTTTGGTCTGGTTTGGTCTGGTTTGGTCTGGTTTAGTCCTGGTTTGGTCTGGTCTGGTCCGGTTTAGTCTCACCTGTAGTGCGGGGGCGTCAGGTCCTGGTTTGGTCTGGTCTGGTTTAGTCTGGTTTGGTCCTGGTCTGGTTTGGTCTGGCTTAGTCCTGGTTTAGTCCTGGTTTAGTCTGGTTTGGTCTGGTTTAGTCTGGTTTGGTCCGGTTTAGTCTGGGTTTGGTCTGGTCTGGTTTGGTCTGGTTTAGTCCTGGTTTAGTCCTGGTTTGGTCTGGTTTGGTCTGGTTTGGTCTGGTTTAGTCCTGGTTTGGTCTGGTTTGGTCCTGGTTTGGTCTGGTTTAGTCTCACCTGTAGTGCGGGGGCGTCAGGTCCTGGTTTGGTCTGGTTTGGTCTGGTCTGGTTTGGTCTGGTTTGGTCTGGTTTAGTCCTGGTTTGGTCTGGTTTGGTTTAGTCTGTTTTGGTCTGGTTTAGTCTGTTTTGGTCTGGTTTAGTCTGGTTTAGTCCTGGTTTGGTCTGGTTTAGTCCTGGTTTGGTCCGGTTTAGTCCTGGTTTGGTCTGGTTTGGTCTCACCTGTAGTGCGGGGGCGTCAGGTCCTGGTTTGGTCTGGTCTGGTCCTGGTTTGGTCTGGTTTAATCTGGTTTGGTTTGGTCTGGTCTGGTCTGGTTTGGTCTGGTTTGGTCTGGTTTGGTCTGGTTTAGTCTGGTTTGGTCCGGTTTGGTCTGGTTTAGTCCTGGTTAGGTCTGGTTTGGTCTGGTTTGGCCTGGTTTGGTCTGGTTTAGTCTGGTTTGGTCTGGTTTGGTCTGGTTTGGTCTGGTTTAGTCTGGTTTGGTCTGGTTTGGTCTGGTTTGGCCTGGTTTGGTCTGGTTTGGTCCGGTTTAGTCTGGTTTGGTCCGGTTTGGTCTGGTTTAGTCCTGGTTTGGTCTGGTTTAGTCCTGGTTTGGTCTGGTTTGGTCTGGTTTGGCCTGGTTTGGTCTGGTTTGGTCTGGTTTGGTCCGGTTTGGTCCGGTTTGGTCTCACCTGTAGTGCGGGGGCGTCAGGTTCAGTTCTCGGTTCATTTCCTCCACGGCGCCGGGGGAGGGGGGAGGGGGGAAGCCGTCGTCCAGGTCGTCAGGGCGACTGTTGCCGTAGTTACCGTAGTTATTCCCATTGGTAACAGGAGCTGGAGAAAGACACAGAATAATGTCATTTTATCAAGATATTTTTTATTTTTATTAGACCTGCTGTGTTTGTGTCTGTGATATAAATATAATCTATGACACGAGTGGATATTTATGTCAGAATTTGGACTAAACTGGGTCTAAACTCGGTCTAAGAAGAACTAAACCAGGATTAAACTTGGACCTCAACCTGAACTGAATTTGGACTGAAGCTGGAGCTAAACCTGAACCTAAACCTGAACCTAAACCTGAACTAAACCTGGATCTAAACCTGGACTAAACTTAGACTGAACCTGGACCTAAACCTGGACCTAAACCTGAACTAAATCTGGATCTAAACCTGGACTAAACCTGGACCTAAACCTGGACTAAACCTGGATCTAAATCTGGATCTAAACCTGGACTAAACCTGGATCTAAACCTGAACTAAACCTGGACCTAAACCTGGACCTAAACCTGAACCAAAACCTGAACTAAACCTGGACCTAAACCTGAACTAAACCTGAACCAAAACCTGAACTAAATCTGGACCAAAACCTGAACTAAATCTGGACTTAAACCTGGACCTAAACCTGGACCTCAACCTGAACTAAATCTGGACCTAAACCTCAACTAAACTTGATCTGGACCTGGACCTAAACATGGACCTAAACCAGGACCTAAACCTGGTCTTAAACCTGGTCTTAAACGTGGACTTAAACCTGGACTGACGCTGGACTAAATTAAGACTTAACCAGGGAGACGAAATGAGAACAAAACAAAATCAGGACTAAACCTGGACCTAAACCTGGACCTAAACCTGATCTAAACTTGGACTGAAGCTGAACCAAACTAGAACTAAACTAAGACTTAACAAGAACTAAACCAGGACTAAACTATGAACCTAAACCAGGACTAAACTAAGACTTAACCAAAACCAAACCAGGATTAAACTAAGTCTAAACTTGGTCTAAGCAGGACTAAACCAGGATTAACCCAGACCTAAACCTGGACCTAAACTTGAACTAAACCTGCACTGAAGCTGGATTAAAGCAGAACTAAACCAAGACTTCACCAGGACTAAATGAGAACCAAACCAAACCAGGACCAAACCTCCCAAAGCTTTTCATTTAATTTTCATTTGTCAAACTCCGTCTTTGAAAAGTGTTTTGCTTGAAGAAAATATTCAGGACTGAGAAACCGCAGGATTAATCTGACAAGTCTGTGGATCCGATTCCAAAAAAGAAAAAATAATGAGAATTTTCACCAGAATTTTCATCAGAAGTTTGGAGATTTCTTTCAAAAAAAACAAAAAACAAAACGGCAAAACGTGAATCTTAACTATTTTATAATTACCTAAACAAAACAAAAAACTAAAATTCACAAAGTCCCTGAACAATAAACGGGGAAATATTAAAGGAAATTCCGGCTGTTTTACATATTTCCATAGACTACAATGCACGTACTCCCCCTCCGCTTGCATTGTTGGGAGTTACAGAAGGAGCCGGCGTTTTTTTTATTTTTTTTTTACAAAGGAATCACATCCGCCGTCCCCGTGGGGCGTCTCGACCAGGGGAAAAGACGAATTTAAAATAGATTTTCAGATTTTTTTTTTTTTTTAGTAAAAAGACGAAACAGAAACAGAAACAGAAAATGCAAATCTGTCGGTTTAGAAGAAAGTTTATGGGAAAATCATGAGGTTTTACGCAGTGGGAAAGAACTAATTACACTCTGTGGAAAGAACTGGTTTAGACCTGGTTTAGACCTGGTTTAGTCCTGGTTTAGACCTGGTTTAGTCTGGTTTAGACCTGGTTTCTGGTTTCCTGGTTTAGTCCTGGTTTAGTCCTGGTTTAGTCCTGGTTCAGTCCTGGTTTAGTCCTGGTTTAGTCCTGGTTTAGTCCTGGTTCAGACCTGGTTTAGTCCTGGTTTAGTCCTGGTTTAGTCCTGGTTTAGTCCTGGTTTAGTCCTGGTTCAGTCCTGGTTTAGTCCTGGTTTAGACCTGGTTTAGTCCTGGTTTAGTCCTGGTTTAGTCCTGGTTTAGTCCTGGTTTAGTCCTGGTTTAGTCCTGGTTTAGTCTGGTTTAGACCTGGTTTCAGTCCTGGTTTAGACCTGGTTTAGACCTGGTTTCAGTCCTGGTTTAGTCCTGGTTTAGACCTGGTTTAGTCCTGGTTTAGTCCTGGTTTAGTCCTGGTTTAGACCTGGTTTAGTCCTGGTTTAGTCCTGGTTTTAGACCTGGTTTTAGTCCTGGTTTAGTCCTGGTTTAGTCCTGGTTTAGTCCTGGTTTAGTCCTGGTTTAGTCCTGGTTTAGTCCTGGTTCAGTCCTGGTTTAGTCTGGTTTAGTCTGGTTAGTCCTGGTTTAGTCCTGGTTTAATCCTGGTTTTAGTCCTGGTTTAGTCCTTGTTTTTGTCCTGGTTTAGTCCTGTTTTAGTCCTTAGTCCTGGTTTAGTCCTTGTTTAGTCCTGGTTCAGTCCTGGTCTAGTCCTTGTTTTAGTCCTGGTTTAGTCCTGGTTTTAGTCTTGGTTTAGTCCTGGTTTAGTCCTGGTTTAGACCTGGTTTAGTCCTGGTTTAGTCCTGGTTTAGTCCTGGTTTAGTCCTGGGTTAGTCCTGGTTTAGTCCTGGTTCAGTCCTGGTTTAGTCCTGGTTTAGTCCTGGTTTAGTCCTGGTTTCAGTCTGGTTTAGTCCTGGTCCTGGTTTAGTCCTGGTTAGTCCTGGTTTAGTCTGGTTTGGTCCTGGTTTAGTCCTGGTTTAGTCCTGGTTTAGTCTGGTTTAGTCCTGGTTTAGTCCTGGTTACTGGTTTAGTCCTGGTTTAGTCCTGGTTTAGTCCTGGTTTAGTCCTGGTTTAGTCCTGGTTTAGACCTGGTTTAGTCCTGGTTAGTCCTGGTTTAGTCCTGGTTTAGTCCTGGTTTTAGTCCTGGTTTAGTCCTGGTTTAGTCCTGGTTTAGTCCTGGTTTAGTCCTGGTTAGTCTCTGGTTAGTCCTGGTTTAGACCTGGTTTAGTCCTGGTTCTGGTTTAGTCCTGGTTTAGTCCTGGTTTCTGGTTTAGTCTGGTTTAGTCCTGGTTTTAGTCCTGGTTTAGTCCTGTTTAGTCCTGGTTTAGTCCTGGTTAGTCCTGGTTTAGTCCTGGTTTAGTCCTGGTTCAGTCCTGGTTTAGTCTGGTTTAGTCCTGGTTTAGTCCTGGTTAGTCTCTGGTTTAGTCCTGGTTTAGTCCTGGTTTAGTCCTGGTTTAGTCCTGGTTTAGTCCTGGTTTAGTCCTGGTTTAGTCCTGGTTCAGGGACTTACTGTTGTAGTGGTTGTTGGTTTCTAGGTGAGTGGGTCTGGGGGGAGGAACGTCATAATCCAGGGAATTCTGTAAAATAAAGAAAATACAGAACATTTAAAATAAAATTTCAAAACAATATTAATATAAAATGGATTAAAGTTGTAAAAGATCTAAAGCTGCAGAATCAGACTTTATTCTTGTAAATTAATACAGTTTTGTTTATTTACAGACTTTTTAGTTGAAAACATGAATCATATTTTTGGTTTAAAGACTTGAAGTGACTTGAAGCTCAAAGGAGACGAGACGACTTGGACTTGACCTGGATTTATGGACCAGTGACTCGAGACTCGACTTGGACTTGACTCAGACTTGAGGTCAAAGACTTGAGACTTGGTTCCACCTCTGGTATGAATTTTAAAAAACAGATCCTTTTGTGATGAGGAAACTGCTTTAGTCCTGGTTTAGTCCTGGTTTAGTCCTGGTTTAATCCTGGTTTAATCCTGGTTTAGTCCTGGTTTAATCCTGGTTTAATCCTGGTTTAGTCCTGGTTTAGTCCTGGTTTAATCCTGGTTTAATCCTGGTTTCAGACCCTGGTTTATTCCTGGTTTAGTCCTGGTTTCAGACCTGGTTAAGCCTTGGTTTAGACCTGGTTTAGACCTGGTTTAGACCTGGTTTAGTCCTGGTTTAGATCCTGGTTTAGTTTTCCTGGTTTAGTCCTGGTTTTAGTCCTGGTTTAGTTTCCTAGACCTGGTTTAGACCTGGTTTAGTCCTGGTTTAGTCCTGGTTTATCCTGGTTTAGACCTGGTTTCAGTTTAGTCCTGGTTTAGACCTGGTTTAGACCTGGTTTAGTCCTGGTTTAGTCCTGGTTTCAGACCTGGTTTAGACCTGGTTTAGTCCTGGTTTCAGACCTGGTTTAGACCTGGTTTAGTCCTGGTTTAGTCCTGGTTTAGTCCTGGATTTCAGACCTGGTTTAGTCCTGGTTTTAGTCCTGGTTTAGACCTGGTTTAGTCCTGGTTTCAGTCCTGGTTTAGACCTGGTTTAGTCCTGGTTTTAGACCTGGTTTAATCCATGGCCCATTAAAACATATTATCTTAAAAAAAATAAATAAAATAAATAAAATATTATTACAGTTTATAGATTCTTATTGATTTTTTTAGTTGAAAACATGAATCACACGTGTAAAAAAAACATCTTATTTTTGAAGCTCTACAAAACAAATATATTTAAAAACAGGAAACGTATTTTAAAAGTGATATTTTCTGCGTTTGAAGTTAAACATGTAAATAAATCTGAGTCTATATAAAAGTCTATTTGGTTTAAAGTGAATCTGTAATAATGTGGGTAAATCTTGAATCAAAATGTCTCGTTTCTGAAGCTCGGTGACGTGTTTGTGTAAAAAACGAGACGACTCCAGACGTTTGTTTTTTTTCTGAGCTGATGAGCGTCTGTCAAAATAAAACCTCAGAGGAAGTGACGACGTTTCGTAATTTTATTCATAATTGAACAGATCAAAATGCACAAAGACGAGACGAGACCCACGGAAAACTGGTCCCGTAAAACTGATTTTACACGTGAAGGTTCTCAGCGGGTTTAGTCTCGGGTCTAGACCTGGTTTAGACCTGGTTTAGTTCGTGATTTATTGCCTAATCCAGTTTTGATTGAGTCCTGATTTAGTCCTAGTTTAGTCCTGGTTTAATTTCTGGTCTTTTCCCCAATCTAGTCTTGATTTAGTCCTAATTTATTTCTGGTTTAGTCCTGGTTTAGTTCTTGGTCTGTTCCCTGGTCTAGTCCTGATTTAGTCAACATTTATTCCTGGTCTAGTCCTGGTCCAGTTCTGCTTTAATCTCTGGTTTAGTCCTGGTTTAGTCCTGGTTTAGTCCTGGTTTAGTCTGTTCCCTGGTCTAGTCCTGGTTTAGTCCTGGTCTAGTCCTGGTTTTGGGAAAGTAGATTTTTTTGAGTTTATAATACAGATAAACTATAGGGACACATAAAGATGTATTTCCAAACCGGGACTAAACCAGGACTAAACCAGGGCCTAAACCAGGGACTAAACCAGGTCTAAACCAGATCTAAAACAGGTCTAAACCAGGGACTAAACCAGGTCTAAACCAGGGACTAAACCAGGTCTAAACCAGGACTAAACCAGGACTAAACCAGGACTAAACCAGGACTAAACCAGGTCTAAAACAGGGACTAAACCAGGACTAAACCAGGGACTAAACCAGGACTAAACCAGGTCTAAACCAGGTCTAAAACCAGGACTAAACCAGGACTAAACCAGGACTAAACCAGGACTAAACCAGGACTAAAGGTCTAACAGGAGTAAACCAGGTCTAAAACAGGACTAAACCAGGGACTAAACCAGGACTAAACCAGGACTAAACCAGACTAAACCAGGACTAAACAGGACTAAAGGTCTAAAACAGGACTTAACCAGGTCTAAAACAGGACTAAACCAGGGACTAAACCAGGTCTAAAACAGGACTAAACCAGGGACTAAACCGGGTCTAAAAACAGGAGTAAACCAGGTCTAAAACAGGACTAAACCAGGGACTAAACCAGGGACTAAACCAGGACTAAACCAGGTCTAAACCAGGGACTAAACCGGGTCTAAAACAGGAGTAAACCAGGTCTAAAACAGGACTAAACCAGGGACTAAGCAGGACTAAACCAGGACTAAACCAGGACTAAACCCAGTACTTCTTAGACGTTTCCAGTTTTTGTTTCTCGTCCTTTTGTCAAACTCTAAGATCTGGTTTCGATATGAAAATAAAGACGTTAAAGCCGATATGATTCAAAAGAATATTTATATTTATATTTATATTTATATTTATATTTATTTATATTTATATTTTTTTTATTTTATTTATTTATTTATGTTTATTTATTTTATATTTATTTATGTTTATATTTATATTTTTATTTATATTTATGTTTATATTTATATTTATATTTATGTTTATATTTATATTTATATTTTTATTTATGTTTATATTTTATATTTATTTATGTTTATATTTATATTTATATTTATGTTTATTTTTATTTATATTTTATTTATGTTTATATTTATATTTATATATTTTATTTATATTTATGTTTATTTATTTTATATTTTATTTATGTTTTATTTATTTATTTATGTTTATATTTATGTTTATATTTATGTTTTATATTTATATTTTATTTATGTTTATATTTATATTTTTATTTATTTATTTATATTTATATTTTTATTATATTTTTCTCTTTCTTCTTGTGTGATGGAGATAAAAGTGTTTGTGTGAGTTTGAGGCTGAAGCGGGCGGTGGGTTTGATTGACAGCTGTGAGGGGGTGTCACGGTGGGGGGGGGGGAGGCTCCCAGAGGACGAGATACAGAACAACAGAGGGAGGGGGGGGCCGCGCATGGAAGTCTATGTGTCAAAACGATTTCAAGGTACGAACGATCAGAACCAGAGAAATATAATACAAAAGAAATCATGTTAAAGACTAAACCAGGACCAGACCAGGACTAAACCAGGACCAGGACTAAACCAGGACTAAACCAGGACCAACCAGGACTAAACCAGGACTAAACCAGGACTGAACCAGGACCAGGACCAGGACTAAAAACCAGGACTAAACCAGGAACCAGGACTAAACCAGGGACCAGGACTAAACCAGGACTAAACCAGGACCAGGACCAGGACTAAACCAGGACTAAACCAGGACTAAACCAGGACCAGGACTAGGACTAAACCAGGACTGAACCAGGACTAAAACCAGGACTGACAGGACTAGGACTGAAGCAGGACTGAACCAGGACTAGAACCAGGACTAAACCAGGACAAAACCAGACTAAAACTAGGACTAAACAGGACAGGACTAAACCAGGACTAGGACCAGGACTAAAAAGCAGGACTAAAACCAGGACTAAAACAGGACTAAAACGGGACTAAACAGGACTAAAACGGGACTGGACCAGGACTAAAGCAGGACTAAAACGGGACTAAATCAGGACTAAAAGAAGACTAAAAGAGGACTAAATCAGGACTAAACAAGGTCATAATTGGGTCTAAACTCGGACTAAACCAGATCTAAACCAGGTCTAAATCAGCTCTAAACAAGGATTAAATTTGGTCTAAACTCGGGCTAAACGACACCTAAACCAGATCTAAACCAGGTTTAAATCAGGTCTAAAAAAGGCCAAACCCAAAACGGTTTTATGGTTTTGTTGCGGTGTTTTGTTTGGGGTTTTTTTAGCGTTTTTTTTTTTTTTTTTTTCACGTTGGTGTTGCATTGTTTTTTGTGTTTTTTTGTGTTGCTTTTGTTATGTTGGTTTTTCACTTTTTTTTTTTTGCTTAATTGGGGTTTTTTTTGCATTTTTTTTTTTTTTTGCATTGGTTTAGTTATGTTGGCTTTTCACAGTGTTTTTTTTTTTTTTTTGCGTAGTTTTTTTTTTTTGCATTGATTTTGTTATGTTGGTTTTTCGCTGTGTTTTTTTGTGTAGTTTTTAATATATTTTTTTTGCATTGTTTTTTTTTTTGTTGGCATTGGTTTTGTTGAATTGGGGTTTTTTTTAATGCATTTTTTTTACGTTTTTTTTTTTTAACATTGTTTTTGTTTGTCTGGTGAAATGAGCTGGTATCGTTTTTTTGCGTTGTTTTTTATTTTTGCGTTGTTTTTTTACATTGTTTTTTGTGTGTGTGTTGTTTTTGTTTGTTGAACGTTCGTGTGGTGAAATGAGCTGCTTTTATGTTGTTTTTTTTATTATTAATTAATATTCCGCCAAGGAGGTTTTTGCCGGTGTTTGTTTGTTTGTTTGTTTGTCTGTTTGTTTGTTTGTTTGTTTTGTTTGTCTTTTAGCAACATAACTCAAAAAGTTATGGACCGATTTTGATGAAATTTTCAGGATTTGTTGGAAATGTGAAAAGGAAGAACTGATTTCATTTTGGGGCTGATCCGGAAGAAATCCTGGATTCTGGATCACTTTGAAATTTTAGTTAACATTGTGGTAAATGTCTCGATTAATTATTGACCAAACCCCATGAAATGTGACTCAGGGATGGACAGTGGGATCCTCTTTCATATTCCAAACTGAAAGATA